TTTTTCCCGAACGTACATATCGCACACGATCCTCAAAGGTGGCACAACTAGGAATGTTAATCCCGGGATCCCGGGATTCCGGACTTTTTAAAGTCTAGAAATCTCGGGATTTTCGGGATTTGTAATTTGCACTGATGGAAATAATAGAAACTCCTTTTCTCGACCAGTATTGGCAATATTTCTTTTTTTTAATAATTAATATTTTTTTATAAATGTCTAGCTCATTATACATATAACACCGCGCGATAGTAAATTTTAAACACAAACATCAATATATTAGCGAAACCATGGGCCAAATATAGTAAAATTGCGTTTTTAGTTTTTCACTCTGACGTCAGTAATTCAAAAATGATTTAAAAAATTCAGAGAAATGCGCTTTTTTAGGTATTTCAAGAGGATTGCCATCTATTTAAATAGTTAAATTGAAAATATTTAAAAAATTAAAAAATTAAATGAATTATTAAAGGGGTGGTCACTCGAAATGGGTTTGAAAACCCTTTATTTCTGACCTTTATGTAGGATGATTTCTATCTGTTTTAAAAATCAAATTCAACTTATTTCATCAGTTTATTGAAATATATGTTTGTCGCAATGTCAGACGAAATAGATTTGAGAAAGTTTGAAAATACTTCTGAAGGGTATTTCCACCTGTTTGAATGGTCGAATTTAGTTAACTTATACATAGGTTTTATTTATTAATATTAAAATTCGGATATCAATCGAAAGATTTTTATGAAAGCTTTAGTTTGAAAATATCATTGATTAGGCTGGCCATCTTTTTGAAAAGTCATATCGTACTAACTAGGTATATATGTATGTATATTATACGAGAAGACATTTTGTATGACAGTCATTAGTTTTCCACCGTTCTTTCGATTTTTAAAAATGGGAGATCGAATTAAACCCCTTAGCCTGTAAATGTGCGATAAAGCTTTATTTTTATAATTAAGAACTTTTTTATTGGGGTACACAGGGTGATTTGAAATTTGATCAATTAAAAACCACCACTATTCGAGACCTCTCTTCACTTGGAAACGGCTAAACGGATTTAGATGAAATATGGCACTCAGATCGCTTATAAGTCTGACTAACATTTGGAATACTAAGGCTTTTGAAATTCAATTTTGGGCATTTAACGCCATGTTTCCACGAACACTATGGCTGCGTTTCTTTATACATTCCGGATAATCCCATTTCACAGCCAGAATAAACAGAATGCGTTTGAAATATAAGTTAACATATCATCAGGAACGTTCTAAAGAATAAGTAAACAAAAAAGATCATTCTAAACGTTCAGACTGAATAAAGAAATGCAGCCTATGTATTAAAAAATGTTGGCACTAAAAAAGTATAAATGCAGTATTTTTGAAAAAACCGCAGTTTAAATTTTTGGAACCCAAAAAAAAGTATTATACTACCAAAAAGAGTATATATACGAGCGTTAGGTATGCATCATAAAGGTTTTAGATTATATGAAAGGTGGCGTCTCCCTCTTATCCGTATGGTACTGATAACATAAACCTTCGTTAAAATTTTCAGAACACTACGTCAAATAATTCCATAGATCACGACCCAATAAAATTTTTCTCCATGAATAGGGAATTTATTTCGTATATACTAATAACAAGTTCCAGTACTCTCCTACAAATCTGTAGACTTTTGACAAAACAACTTCTGTGTTGTTTGTAAGTTGGAAATTAAAGTAAATTGTAAGGAACTTTTATTTAAAAATTTTACATTTTTATTTAACTTGCATTAAGATAGCATCTTGAACTGATGACTAAACATAAAAATATCATTGACAACTCAATGAATTGCTGCTTTGAAGAGAAAATGACCTCACTCGAGAGAAGTTGTTTTGTCAAAAGCCCACAGAAATATATCCAGAGAGATGCATGCAGTATTAAAATTTCAATTTGTATATAATCTGTCACGCCTTTTATATATCTACATAGCCTATGACTACGGTCATACGGATTTTGAGAAAATTGTCCCGCAGAAAATTTTTTTAAAAGTCAGGACGTATAAGTGTCTTGATTTTTCATATTTGTTCCGATTAAGTCCCGATGATCAGAATTTTCGTTATTAATTTAATAAGAGTTTCCCGTACAAAATATAAGAGGGCTATAAACATAGCCAGCGTCCTTATTTTCTACGATCTTTGGTTATGTTTTTTTCTATCAAACTGGTACTCTCGCTATATTGCAGTCTATCATTCTTCTCTAAATTTTTTTAACCGACTTCAAAAAAGGAGGTTATCAATTCATTGGAATATATTTTTTTTATGTATGTTACCGCATAATTTTGGACCACGTTAACCGATTTCTATAAAGAAAGGTAGTACCTCAGAGGTGGTCCCACACCAATTTGGCTTAGGTTCGACCATTAGATCATTAAGAAATTAACGGTACTCTTAAATTTGTATATGAGAGTTGAAGTCGGTTTTGTTTTTTGCTTAAAAATAACTAGTACAATTCTTTGTTAAGTTTTTCTTTTTGTTTTTTTAATGTAACGATTCTAACTTGAATTTAGTGAAATAATAGTGAATTTAGTGAAATAATAGAAAATAATAGATACTAATTCCCTCAAAAAAATATAAGTTGTAGATACAGTAGCGAAAATATTAATAGGGAAGAGACATTTTAGCATTCTTTGGCGACATTTAATGTTTATTACTTTGTTATGAAAGTATACTCGTTATCTAACAAAAACCATGTATGTCTAAGTTTCAAGGTTAGGTTAGGTTAGGTTAGAGTGGCTGCCCCGCGCAGAACG